TGATAACGGAAAACCCCAAGTTCGAGTGCTGTGTGAGGCAGCTCGTAAGTTAGCAGGTCATTTCCCCGATGGTGTTCAGAAGATGGTCAGCGCACGGAGGGATGCGACGTCGTGGCCCCTGTGGTTGTCGGTGTTGCAGAGTCTCCACGAGATCCCTTTGGCGCAGCTCGAGTTGTTCACCAAGGAAGCCGCCCGTATTGCTTGCCGGGCTCGGTCTCGAGCACTTGCGGCGTCGTTGGCGGACTTCAAGCAGTGGATTCAGCAGAATGAGTTTACAGGAGGGCTCTTTCGAGCCACCAAGGAGCAGCCGAATAGCAGTCATAGTGTGGTCGTGAACGGCGAGACGGTGTACCACCCCAAGGATGTGGTGGAGCACCGCGCAGAGAAGTATCACAAGCTATGGGCATCTCCTGATATGACGTGCAGTCAGGCTGAGAAGTTGTTTGAGACTATCCACGCGCGGGCCCGTGATGAACCTTTGGGGCCTCTGTCGTTAGAGGACATTCGTCGTGCACTGAGGGCTATGAAGGCGCGCGCGGGGATGGGTTTGGATCGATTATCCCCCATCGACCTCGAGAGGTTGCCAGATGCCGCGCTGACTGAATTGGCGCAGCTATACAACATGTTTGAGGAGTGTCAGACATGGCCGTGGCAGCTCATGGGGGCCGTGGGTAAGTTACTAGCCAAGAAGACCGTTGGCCATTTCCGTGTCATAGGATTGATCTGCATGATCTGCAGGGTGTGGAATCTGGCACGCTAACCAGTTGTACAAAGTTGGGCTGCCTCCTCGCAGCCCGACTGGGATGCTGCGGTGAAGGGCAACAGTGCCCTCCGAGAAGCGTATATGAAGGCGTTGAATGAAGAGCTGTATACTAGGCTCAAGATGGCCAACGGTCACGCATTGATGGATATTCAGAGTTTTTATGACATGATGGAATGGGATGTTCTTATCAGGGGGGCCTTTCGATATGGGTTCCCAGCAGTGATGTTAGGAATGGAGCTTCAGATATGTGCGAGCCCGAGGATGTTAGATCAGGGAGACGCAGTGTCGCTTCCTTTCCAGGCCACTCGGAGCATCGTGCAGGGGCTCCGCAGTGGCACTCGCTTCGCGCGGTGTGTCACCAGCCTGGTCATGGAGCGTCTGACGGTCATGCATCCTGGGCTCACGGAGCGTTTGTGGATCGACGATCTTTCGCAGTCGGCAGTGGGGTCGGGTGCTCATGTACGACAGGCGCTGATCGACGGCGTGACCTCGGCCTCCGACCTCTTGGCAGATGTCAAGCTCACGCTGGCCAACAAGAGTACGGTGTCCTGTTCTTCAATGTCGGATGCTCGTGCTGTGGTCAGGGCTTTGAGGAAGCGTGGCATCGAGATCCAATGTGCCAAGCAGATGGCCTACCTGGGGGTCGACCTCTCGTGTGGGCGTCGGCATGGTCGAGCAACCAGGCAGAAACGCATGCAGGACACGAAGAAGCAGCACCTTACCATCAAGAGGTTTGCGGCTTCATCTAGACGATTTCGTATTTTGAAGAAGGTGGAGTTGGCGGGGCCCCAGGCAGGCGCGCGGCACGGCCACCAGGTGCTGGGCTTGCCGCGGGCCTCGCTGGTGCAGCTACGCCGACGACTGGGCGGAGTCTCGGGTCATAGGCGCGGCCGCTGCCTCGCGACTCTGCTCGACATTCGAGCGCCTGGAGCAGATCCAGGGTATGCGCTCCCGCGTCAAAGTGTTGAGCAGTGGTTCAAGTGCTGGCTGGATTCCCCGCAGGTGAGGCGCTCCGTGGGCCTTGTGTGGCAGGAGTTGGTGCAGCAGTTCACGTCCACCTCGCCGTCCAATCGGGCTCGCCACGTACGGGGCCCACTGTCAGCTCTTGTACATTACATGTTGGGAGCCGAGTGGGAGTTGCGGCCCCCCACGGAGTGGTATCCCCCGACGGGCCCAGATGGACTCCAGCACGGATGGGACTTCGGCTCGCAGGCCTTCGAAGCGCCCGACCAGGCAGGCGAGCTGATCGATGCCTTTGCTGGCACCCTTCAGCAGCAGTTGTGGCTGGAGGCCTCCAAGGGCTTCTGCGGGGGAGGCATGGGGCGAGGGGTGGACAACTTCTCGCTGAGGCGCTACCTCTTCCAGCTGGAGCAGGCCCCAGAGTACGGTCGGACGTTGTCGGAACTCATGTTGTGTATTGCAGTGGGCGGGGCTTGGCCCGCGGCTCGCAAAAAAAACTCACAAGGGCACGAGATCCCAGCAGAGTGCCGTAGGTGTAGGGGAGGCCCCGAGACACCCAAGCATAGGTTTTGGCAGTGCGAATGTAATAGGGACCCCAGAGCCTTTGAAGCCTCAGAGGATATCATTCCCCGTGCTCTTGCGGAGGCTGACAGTCTTGAATGCTATTGGCTCAGGGGGCTCATCCCGTCTCACATGCTTGAGGTCTCCCCGCCTCCCGACGAGGAGATCTGGATCAGCAGTCACCCCAATGAGATGATTGATGGCGAGTTTTTTGGTGTCGGCACTCCTGGCATGCCCCTACTCGTGTGGGGAGATGCGTCGGGGGGTGCTGACACTCACTATCCCAGGTTGCGTAGGATTGGGGTGGCTCTCGCCACGGCCCCTTCCGCCGACCCCTCGGCTCAGAGATTTGTGTATGGGCCCCTCCCTGGCAAGCGTCAGACGGTGCCGAGGGGCGAGCTTTTCTGTTTTGTTGTGGCCGTTGAAAAATCTAGGGGGCCATTGGCTTACATTACTGATAATGATCAGGTTTCAACTGGATTTTGGAGTAGGTGGTTTGAGGCTCCCCAGGGCCCCAATGCGGATCTCTGGAGGAGGCTGCGCGATGCTCTGCAAGTGTCGGACCGACACCCAGGCGATGTGTGCGTCCTCAAAGTTCCCTCTCACGTTGACGGTGCCGAGGTGGAGGCTAGAGGTCTCCCAGGCCATTTAATTGCAGGAAATGTGTTTGTTGACGCCCTTGCGGGCACTGCCGCCAAGCTGTTCAGAGTCCCCGCTGATCAGCGTGCGAGAGTTCTCCGCATCGAGAGTGACATCCGTCTCATTCGAGAGAGGCTCTTGAGGGCCACGTTAGAGTCGTGTAAGGTGGACGGGAAAAAGGTCAGGCGCCCTGCTGCCCCTGCTGTTGCCCCTCCCCCTGCACCCTCAGTCGTCGCCTTTTTCCAATCGTCTCATGCTGTGGAGTCCTCTGGGAAAAAAGCTCGAGGTGCCACAATAGCTGCTCGGAGGCGAGCAAGAAGATGTGGCTATCATCGGAATGTTTTTCCTTAATTCGGGCGACTGAGCACACTCTAAGGGTCCCTCACGGTCGGCAGATTCACCTCGCTGGGGGCTGGGTCCACCAGTCTCACCAGATGGTATTTCACGAATCGTTGGCCCTGTGGTTCTGTCAGGCCTGTGGGAGGTATTTCTCTTGTAACCTCTGTGGGCTGGCCGAGGTGTGTTCGTATCCCGACTCCCCTGTGACCAAGACGCGGCGAGCTTACCTCGACCGCATCTCCAGGAACCTGTGGCCCAAAGTGCTCAGCAAGGCTGAGCAAGAGGCTCGGGGTCGGTCTTAATTAAGTGAGGGGGGGGGGCGGGGCCCCTATGTGGGTGTGTGTGTGTGTCAGCGGGGAGCGGCGCGCCCGCGCGCGGCCGCCCGCGACATCGGCGGCTTCCACATGGAGGACCGCCCACGCACCCCACCGCCCGTCCCCCCCTCGGTTTTTCGGATTCGCTTCGCGATCGGTCTCATCTCATCTCACCTCACCCTGCTCCTCCTCCCTCCTCCTCCTTCTCCTCCTCCCCCTCCTCCGCCTCCTCCTCCTCCTCCTGCTCCTCCTCCTCCTCCTCTTCCTCCTCCTCCTACTCCACCTTTTCCTCCTCCTCCTCCCCCGGCGTTTCCCCCCTCCTTCCCTCCTCCTCCTCCTCCTCCTCCTCCTCCTCCTCATCCTCCGTGTCGTGGGGTATGCGCCTCAGCGAGCGGGGCCCGCCTGTCCTTTCGGAAGCTAGAAGCCACAGGAACACGACCGACCGGAATTCGACCCCATGGTATGGAACGAGGCAGCACGCACGTTGGTCACCCAACTTCGCGCGTCGCCCCCCGCGATGCGCGGCTAACTATCTCTGCCCCCACGCCCTCGCGCCGCCCCCATTGGGAAGGGCAGCTGCTCTGGCTCGAACCTCGAAGCGCGGGTCATCTTCGCACCCCAGGGGGTGACCCAGGAAGCACCTAGCCTGTGATGAGTCACCGTGGATCTCCCAACCCGACAAGGTGAGTGTAGTGTAACATGGACCATCGACGAGTATGCCCATCATTCGGAATAAGTACGTAACACCGTGATCTAGGAACTTGTTTTGCAGCAGGCCAATATCGAGAGGGTTAACATTTGAGGAAAAGAGCACTCTAGTGTTGAACAACAATTTGGCTTTCGCACGCCCCTGCAAGAGAAACGAACCGAGACTACTTTTCAACTATAAAAACGAGAAGGCGCCTGTCGCAGATTGGGATCTGGGAGTCCAGAACTAATTACCCACTCTCAATGAACAATGATCAACTCGGATTCTCCAACGTCTCTCCAATTCCTGGATTTGGACGCCCAACATGGGTACGAAAAAATGGCACGATGCCCAACAACAAGTGTTGTCTAAAACCGACAGCGGCCGCTCTTGGGCAGGCGGTCTGTCTCAAGTGGGCACCGCCCGCGGAGGCGCGGACAGCGAGCCCCCCTCAGAATGAACAGGGAATTCCGCCTCTGTGCCCATTCCTTCCGCACCCATGTCCATCGTACAGAGTCGTTTTTTAATCCGCGTGCGGATCATGTATGCAAAATGCAGGGATTTAGTATTAAAACAACGATGGGTTCCTGCATACATTCATTCATAAAGGAATCATGTACTAAACATCGTATATTTCTAAGAATCCTATGTAAAAAAAAAAAAAAACTGCACTGTACAGAGCAACGTCCTGGGCGTCCAGGGGCCGCCTGGCGGGGGCGCGGTCCTGCGCTCGATCTGCAGGAACATGCCGTTGTACCGCACCCTGCGCGCGCCGCGGGCCGGGCGCGGAGCGCGGGGCCCGCCGGCGGGGCACATCCCCCGCGGGGGGACGGCGCGCCCAAGGCCGGGGGCCCGAGCCAAGAGTCGGAGGGGCGGGAGCCGGAGCGGGAGGGATTGGAGCCGGAATCGGGCGACCGTCTGCCCCCTCCCGAGAGCGCGCCCAGGAGGGGGGGGGGGGACATCGTGGCCGGCGGCATGTGCGCGGCCAGGAGTGGCCCTGGGTAAGAGTGGCTGCTGGTGCGCGGCTTCACGGGGAACGCGGGGTGGCCCAACCTGGGCGCGGAAACCGCTGCTACCACTTCGCGCTCGGCGAGCCCAGGCACCCCTTGGGCCCGCATCCGAGGTCACTCAAGAGAGCGGTCACTCTTGCCGGGGGTATCCAAAGGCACCGCTACCGCTCTCCCCAAACCTCTCCCGGGGTGCGTTCTGACCAGGATGTCGAGGCGAATGCAGCGGTGGCGGCGAGGCCTCCCAGGATGCCCCAACAAAAAGGAAAACACAAAAAAAACAAGGGAAGGGTGCACGGTTTCCCCCGGGGCCGTAGGCGACCCGAGGAGGACGAGGAGGAGGAGAAGGTGGTGGAGGAGGAGGAAAAGGAGGAGGGGGGGAGGAGATGGAGGAGGAGGAGGAGGAGGAGGAGGAGAGGGAGGAAGAGGAGGAGGAGGATCCAGTCGGGGAGAGAGCCAAAGGAAGGATCGAAGCGTCGAAAAGAGAAGATCAACAAGCTTAAGACCACGATGGCCTGCCTGTACGACGAGGACCTCCATATCATTGGTATCCAGGGGGCAAGGACACCCTGGGGCGTCCGCGACGCAGGACAAAACGACGACGCCAGATGCGCCAACGCCAACTGCTACCACATCATTTCCAGCGGCCACAAAGGGTTCAACTACGGCTGCGAGCTTCATGTTCTACTCAGCAAACCCTACGGCAAGAGCGGCAAAAAGGAACTCTTCTTCAAACCTGACCAGTTCACAGTCACTGTCAAGGACCCCAGGCTCCTTATCGTTCGCGTTGCCGCCCCTGGCTTCAACCACGTGCTTGCCGTCGCCCATGCACCGCACTCGAAGGCCCTCGCGACCGAGAAGGATAGCTACTGGAAGAAGCTCGCGGAGAACACCGAAAAGCACCAAGTCAGCATCATCTTCTTCGACGCAAATGCCAGGACAGGCAACATCACCAGCACGGCCATCGGCGACAAGGGCTTCAAGCAAAACGAGGACCCAAACGGACACCGTCTACATGAGCTGCTCCTGACCAACCACCTGGCGGCCGCCAACACCTTCGTCAGTCATGGACCAGAGCATCATACCTGGCACTCGGGCAGGGGCCCTCATCGCATCGACTACGTCATCATCCCCCAAAGCTACATAGACTCCATCGAGGAGTGCGCCGTGCTCTACGGCATAGACAGCGGCCAAGACCCAGAGACCAAGGACGACCACTACCCAGTCAAGCTGCAGCTTGCCTACCAGATCATCTCGTCCGTCACCAAAGGAATCCCGAAGTTAGACGAGAGCAAGCTAGCCGACGAAGGGTGCCGCAAAAAGTTCTGCCAAAAACTCAACGAGGTCAAACACCCGCCCTGGGACACCAACCTCAACGAGCACCTCACAATAGTCGCTGAGAAGATCACGGGGGCCGCGTGCGAGTGCTTCCGCTCCAACAGCCGCGCCCCACACAAGCCCTACCTCACCAGGCGGTCCTTTGCTCTCCTGCGAATTCGCCGCTCGATAGTCAAGGCGACACGGATCGCCAAGAAAAACGGGATTGCCAGCCACTTCGGTGACAAGGAGGCTACGCTACACGGCAAAGATCATCGCGAGGGAAGCCCTCCTGCCCGACCCCGCAGATGCGAGTGCCCTGGCCGATCTCAGCGACTACGTCAAACTTGTGGTGGACTCTATCATACTCAGCACTCCCAGCCTAGCTCCCCATGTCGTGGAACCCGACGATGCCAACACCGCGCGCAGCGCCCAGCACTACTTTGACGCCCTTCTCCAATTCCTCGGGACGTCTAAGTCGACACTACAGAAGTGGACCACGACAGACCGCGACGACTTCCTTGAGAGAACCGCCGACGAGATGGGTGCAGCGATCGACGACCACGCCCCCCGTTTAGAGGCCCTGCACGCCAAGCGACTACTGGCCTCCGGAGGACGAAAGTCAAAGATGCCGCCGACGCCCATCATCCGCACCAACGACGACGGGGAGCCCCTCACGAAGAAGAGCGAGATCGCCGACCACGCCCTAGCCTTCCACGGCAAAGTTGAGCAAGCTATTGCCACGGATGCAGACGGGGTAGCAGCCGACTACAACAAAAGGACCCGCCACGCAGGACCAGGACCTAAGATCCAAAACATAATACCCAAGCACCAGCTGACCAGCCAGCTCGCCGCCGCCAAGCGAGGCCGCCGAGGAGGCCCTGACCAGCTCACCGACGACGTGTCCAGAGCCAGCCCTGAAGGGATGGCTCGCCTGCTCCACCCCGTCCTAGTCAAGACCCACTTCGAGAGCACCGAGCCTATCGCCGCCAAGGGCGGGTACTCCACGTATTTCCACAGAGGACAGGGGGCCATGGAGCTCCAGAAATCATACCGCGGCATCCTGCTCAACAACACCATCGGCAAGATGCACAGCACCTTCCCCCGATCCCGCGTGAAGTGCCTGCTACCTGAGCTACTAGAAGCAACCCAGTGCGGCGCCCGTCCCAAGATGGCCACGGATTTCATCACTCACACCAGCCTCGCCTTCATCAGCGACTGCCAGAGGAGATCAAGATCATGCAACATCACCTTCCAGGAACTCAGGGAGGCCTTCCACTCCGTCATCAGGGAATTATGCATGCAATTGCCGACCGCCGCTGACGAGCTCAACGAGCTCATCGAACGGATCGACATTCCCGACTTCATCAGACCAGCTCTAAAGGAACGACTCCAGCAACCCGCCTACAACAACCAGCACATCGACGACGAGCACCTCTGCCACATGATCGCAGCTCACCGCACCTCCAACTTGACGACAGCCAAGAGCGCAAGGCACTGCCAGCTGCCTCGGACCAGCACCCGACCTGGAGTGCCATACCCGGATGTCGCCTTCAACATGCACTTCGCCATCATGCTGAGGGCACTCGATCAGGCAGTTCGAGAGGAAGAGGCCCACGGCCAGCAGACAGGAGGACACGATATAGAGGCCTGCAGTGAGCCTCTCTTTTCACCAACCCCCCAGGAAGGAAGCGCGCTCAGAAACGTGTCCTTCGTCGACGACCCCACCGACTACAACTCGACCGCCAATGCCAACGAACTGATCAACGCGACAGCTCTGGCAGCTGCCGGGCTCTGCACAGCAGCATTCCAGCATGGCCTGAAGCCACGCCCAGTAAAGACCAAGGCCATCCTCATGCACTACGGCGCGGGGGCCAAGAAGGAGAAACAACGGATAGCCAAGGAGGGCATCACATACCTAGAATTGGACGGGCTTGCTATCAAAGTGCAGCTGGTAACGCAACAGAAAGCCCTCGGTGCCATCATCTCGGCGGGCGGGGTCATGGGGCCAGAGATCAGCCTAAGGGTCAACCGCGCGCTCGGTGCAGCCCGGCCCCTAGCGAAGCAGATCCTCCGCCGCAAGAAGCTCTCGAAGAAAGCCAAGGTCAAGTACGTCCACGCTTTTCCGACATCCTCGCTTACCTACAACCGCCATGTCTGGGGCGACCTGGCCCTGAAGGACCTGACGCACCTATCCGCCAAGTAAAATGGGCCCATGCCGAGTCGCAACTTCACTACCCAAGACCAACTCACCCGACCAGCGCGTCTCCGAGGCCGAGGCAATCGCCAAGACAGGAGTACCCGACTTCGTCGCCCACCAGTCGATCGCGCGGCTACGGTGCTTGCCTCGACTCCTGAGTAATGCTCCAGCAGTCCTACCTCAGCTACTCGACGGCCAGCGCCAACGAAAGAGCACATGGAGCCGCCAGCTCAAGAAAGACTTCGACCTCCTACGTAGTACTTACCAAAAGAGAGGTGGCCCAACCAACCCCAGCACGACCGCGACATCATCAACTGGGCCCGACAGAAGCCGAAGCTATTCACCAATGCGGTCCGGTCAAGGCAGCTTCGAAGGCATACATTCTCCACGCTCGCGACCAAGCTCAAGGCGCCAAGCTCCAGAAGGACATCTTGATGACCTCGGCAGATCACACAACTGAAGTGCTGGACCTCTGCGACGACACCAACAACCAGAAGTGCGTCTGCTACGCCTGCGGCCGAGTCGCCTCCAGGCGAGGCATGCTAATCCAACGGGCAGGGACCATCCAGACCACGAAGGTCCGCGCTTTTGGGCGACAGGTACCGCGTGCCGATGCTGCCAGACCGAGCACCACTCTCTTCCGAGGCTCATCAAGCACTTATCGGTGGCTCACCGTTGCCGCAAATCCCGGCATGCCTGGCGCGCCCAGGCGATGGAGCCTCTGACGGAGCAGCAAATAGCAGAACCTCGCCGCCATCGCCGAGGCCACAACGGCCAACAAGAAGCAAAGACGACACCCAACCTTCAGCGACAAGCCAGCCGACCCGTGCGACGTCACGCCGCTGCCTCTCCTCGAGACGTCGCCCGTCATACCCAGAGTATCTGCCAGACTCGAGCCATCACCAAGCAGACCTCCCGCGAGCTCGCCTGCAGAACCAGCCGAGCGCCAAGAGATCGTCGTCAGACCTCCAACAGATCATGGCTAGCAACGAGATCACGAGCATCAGCGGACTGGACTACACGCAGATCGCAATCCCCAACAGCGGCCAGACCTCAGAACTTCCGACAGTACTTCGGCGAGCACAACGCAGGATCCTACATGGCGAGGTAGCGGCCATATGCGTAGAGTTCCCACGACGAGCCTGGTACCTACGCGATGCAACCGACGTTCTAGGCAGCAGAGCAAGCAAGCGGCGCACCCCAGAGGCACCCTGGGGAACGCCCCAAGTCTCCGAGACCATCGCCGACGAGATATTCGCCGCCAGCAACGTCACACGAGAGGTCTTGCGTATGATCTTCATGGCGACCACTACCAAAGCACCACTCGTAGCAACCATCTCGGCCGAGTCGATCGTCAGACAGACCCCAGAATATCGGTGCATCGCCAAACTGACGACCGTCTACGAGACCCCGACGAACCACTACGACCTCGGCGCCACACAGATCCTCGGCAACGTCACCCGCGACGACCTCCGCAACATAATGCACACGGCAAACGAAGAGGAGATCGACTTCACCATCGCCGGCCTGCTCGACGGCAACATTGTGGCTATATGGGGCCTCAGAACCGCAACCGCTGCGCCCACCAGCCAGAACCTGAACACCAACGACGCCTACTACATAGAACGAGAAGGCGAAGTGCCGCCCCATGCCGAAAGCGAACGCCACGAAGAGTGTCACCGACGACAAGCTCAAAGGCGTCAGGACGCAAGTCCTGAGGAAGCCCCGAGTGCGTGGGAACACCTCAGGCAGCGTCGCCAAGTTTTGCAAGAGGCGTTAGGACGCAAGTCCTGGGGAAGCCCCGAATACGAGGGAACGCCCCAGGCACAAGGCGCCACGTTTTGTAGTATTGCTGAAGGCAGCGGCAGCACGTGCAAGAGGTCAGCGGACACATGCGAGCCGCATCGCACACCCACTCCACTCTTGCCAAGCACCACCGACCAGCTACACCCCACGACCCAAGGAACGACCTACCACACCACGCCACAAGTCAACGCTGCCCTGGTGAGGCAAGGATCGAACTTCGAGACGGGCTCGAAGGGTGGGAGGGCAGGACGAGCACAGCCCGCGCCTACCAAGGGGGATGGTGAGGGGCAGGGGGGGGGGGCGGGGAAGGACGGCCACTACCCGCGCCCCCGAGGTCCGCCCTAGCTCGCCACCCCCACCACCCCCATGGCGAAGGAGGAGCTTACCCGATCGCCCAAGCGGCGAAGCACAAGGCAGCCGAGACATCCCCCACCGACGACAGCAGCAAGCACCAAGCGTGGGGGTTTCGCCCCCACCGAGGGCACCGTGACCCCTAGCCATAGCGGGACGAGGTGGGGCCGCCACGAACCCCACTTGAAGTCGGTGCATGGAGGCCTATCAAATGCGCCCATAACCCACACCACAACCCCAGCAACAATACGCTCTCCCCACGACCTTACCATAGACACTCAAGACGACCATCCACAACCCATGGCACTCACCACCGACCGATCACCCACCCCGCAACCACCACACATCCAACAACCATCACCACCTCGACACCACCAGCCCGCTGAAAGGAGGACAGGAAAAGGGTCCTCAGCAGTGCGGCACGACTCAACCATGAAAGTGCCCGCTGAAAGGAGGACAGGAGCAGGGTCCTCAACAGCGAGGCTCGAAAGGCACGCCCTGGAGACAGTGAAAAGGAGGACAGGAGCAGGGTCCCCAGAACCAATCTCCAGCAGGCACGCCCGCAGAAAGGAGGACAGGAGCAGGGTCCTCAGCTGCGAGGCAGTACAAAGACAAACAACCCCAGAACCTCCACCTCATCAACAACAACCACCACCTCGACTTGACCAGCCCGCTGAAAGGAGGACAGGAGCGGGGTCCTCAGCAGCGAGGCGTGATGAGCCTACCAAAACCTCAGCTGAAAGGAAGACAGGAGCAGGGTCTTCAACAGCTCTGAAGATTGTGAATGCAAGGAGGCTGCCCACAAGGAGGACAGGAGCAGGGTCCTCAGAAGCGGTGCTCAGCATGCACGACATCTTAGAGGAGCTCACGCCAAGAGAAGGAGGCGGCGCACCGTGCGCCGCGGCGAGGCCGTCCCCAGCCCACGGGCCGAAGGGGGGCACGGCCCGCCCCCCGTGTAACATACGAGGGCCGCCAGATCAGCCGAGCTGCCACGCGGCAAGAGAAGGTCGGACGCCCCTCAGCTCGCGAGCAAAGGAGGGGCGTCCGTCGCAAAGAAATTCGAGGAGGACGAGTTCGGGGCCCACCTGAGGCCGTCGGACTGACGGGCTACGCCGCGGCGGCCGCCGCCGCGGCACAGAGCCCTCACTGAAAGGGTTCACTGAAAGGAGGAGGAGGAGGAGGAGGAGGAGGAGGAGGAGGAGGAGGAGGAGAACGGGTCGCCTAAGCCCTTCGGAGAAACCCTCCAGGGAAGGGTGGCGGCATGGGTACCTCTTCTTCCTCAGACCTGCGCCTGGCCGAGAGCTGCGCACACCGCGAGCCGCCGGGGAGGCGGCCGGCCCCGGGACGACCGGCGGAGCCCGTCGGCGCCCGACCGCGACCGGCCGTGCTGCCGCCAGCTCGGGCCGCCAGGCGGGCTCGGCTCCGAGGGGCTGGTGTCGAGCTGGTCCGCTCTCGGCCGCCGAGGGGCCGCGCTGCATGCTGGGTGCGCTTGGCGGCCGCATGGGCTCAGGCGCCGAGCGAGGCCGGAGGAAAAAAAAAAACCTGGGACGGGGGTCTGTGGCATGGCGCCCCGCGGGGCGGAGTCCCACCAGCGCTCTGGGCGCAGGTGGCCTGACGAGTTGTTCGTCTTCTCTCCCCCCCCCATTTTCCCTGCTCGGGGGAGGGGTTTATCACTGCCCCTAATTAATACACGCCCCCTCCCCCACCACCGCAATCCCTGTCAAAAAACAAAACAGATAATGCACTCTGCCCCTAAATCTCGCGCATGCGCAGGCGCCACGCGACCACTCTGCCTGAGTTTTTGACAGAGGTGGCGGGGGTGCTGGCATGCTGCTTGTTGCGCACAAATTGCGCGCAAACCGACCGCCCCTGCCAAACAACAAAACAGAATACACTTTGGCTCCAAATCTGGAGCATGCGCGGGCGCCCCGCGACAACTCGGCGTGCGCTCCGCGACCACTCTGCGTTGGCTTTTGAAAGGGATGGTGGGGTTGCCGGCGCACTGTTTGATGAAGCCAGCCATCCTTGTCAAAAAACACTATCCTGACGAAGGACCCAACCATATGCAGTTGTGGGTACCGCAGTTGTAAATATATTCTTCGGTGAAACCCCCTATACGGCCACGAAACGCTGCACTGGGTGGGGGGAACGCATGCGGGCGGTAGCACTGGGACCGTCGGTGGAGCTTCGTATGGTGCCACGAAACGCTGTACTGGTGGCGGACGCATGCGGGCGGTGCCACTGGGACCTTCGGTGGAGCCAGAAAAAAGAAGGGAGGAATGGCTGTACTGGGTGGTGGCGGACGCATGCAGACGGTGCCACTGGGACCTTCGGTGGAGCCCCTATGGAGCCACCAAACGTTGTACTAGGTGGGTGAAACGAAGGGAGAAATGGCTGTACTGGGTGGTGGCGGACGCATGCGGGCGGTGCCACTGGGACCTTTGGTGGAGCTCCCTATGGGGCCACGAAACGTTGTGCAAGGGCTGTGCTGGGTGGTGGCGGACGCATGCGGGTGGTGCCACTGGGACTTTCGGTGGAGCCCCCTTTATGGAGCCACGAAACGCTGTGCTGGGTGAGTGAAGCGTAAGGGTTGTGCTGGGTGGTGGCGGACGCATGCGGGCGGTGCCATTGGGACTTTCGGTGGAGCCCCCTATGGGGCCACGAAGGGCTGTACTGGGTGGGTGAAGCGCAGGGAGCAAGGGCTGTGCTGGGTGGTGGCGGACGCATGCGGGCGGTGCCACTGGTGGCTTCGGTGGAGCTCCCCCACGAAACGCTGTGCTGGGTCGGTGTAACGCATGGAAGAAGGAGGGGGGAGAGGAGGAGGGGGAGGAGGGGGAGAAGGAGGAGAGAAGCAGAGGAACTCGGGGACCGTCTCTTCAAAACGAGGACCCAACACCACAGGATGGTTGGGAACAATGCAAACCGCACTCTGCCTCCACATTTGGAGCATGCGCGGCCAACCCGATGCGCGCCCCCCCCCCCCCCCCTCCCTGTCAACAAACAACAATGCAAAGTACACTTTGGGGCGGGCTTGCACGAGGCCCACAACGGCCCAATAATCCTTTAAGATCAACCCAAGATAGCCCAAGATGCCCCCAAGAGGACTCCAAGACGGCCCAAGAGGGCCTCAAGACGGCCCCAGAAGCTTCCACAACGACCCAGAAGGGCCTCAGGACGGCCCCAAGAGGAGGCCCAGAGGGGGAACCCAAATGAACATTTCGAGCACTCGGCCACGAAAAACTTGAGGAGGCGCCAATAGGCCCCCAAGAGGCTCCCACGAGGCCCCCGAGAGGCCCAAAGGAGGATCCTAGAGGCCTCAAAACGGCTCCCAAGAGGCCTCAATAGTGCTGCCAGGAGAGCCCAGAGAAACCCAAAAGCAGAGCCGCAATCTGCCAACCGCCCCCGACGAAACACCAAGAAGCTGAAACCCCAAGACTCCCCAGAAGTCGTTCCGCAAACTCAGTTTTTCACTCTTACTGCCGCCCCAAGGGGTCGGCGGTGCGGCGTCAGCCAATGAATCTGCGCGGACCGCCAAAGTCTGTGTTTGTGCAGTTTTGCTATTCTTCGAGCGCGCACGAGGCTTCGGATGATTTGCTGCCGAATCCATCGACGAAGGGGGGCGCCGTGCTGCACCACAAGCAGTGCCCAGGTGTCAATGCCTCGGCCTCCCAGCCGCACCGGCCCGCCACGGAAGAGTCCCGCGGGGATGCCACCGGGACCACCAGGGCGGCCCAATGGTGTCTCGCGAAGGGGGCCAAAAGGAAACCAACGACGGCCCCAACCCTGAGATCCTGGCGTCTCGATCTGTCCGAGCCGGGCGTTTGCGCCCAGCTTCGGGCCCTGGGGCCCTCACAGATCGACCCGGCTCGAGATGGCGCAGACAGATGGGGTCCAGGGTCCAGGGCTCCGGTTGACCGACGTTGCGCTTTCGTTCGCGCCGTCGGATCCCAGAGAAAGTTCCTCCAAGTTTTCAGAGTCCGCCAGTCGACCTGCCCTGCCCCCACCTGCAACAAATACCCGAACACTGGACTTGAGCGCGCGAAGGCAAGTGAGGCAAAGCGATCACCGTGCAAAACTCTCGATCTCTGCGCGACGAAGAACGTCACGCTGTCACCGATACACGAAGCACATAATTACACAGTACAGCGCAAACGGGCACACACACACACCAATCATGATATCCTCCAGACGCGTAGCGTTTCGTGCTTGCGCAGGGACAGCACACACAGCATGATCATGCGCACAAGCACCGCCTTCAACAATTCGAAGCTGCTGCATAGTGATGCTCTGGTGCATCGCCGCCCGTGCACAAAGGCCATGGTGGCAACTATGGCAGCACGCCTGCCACCTGCGCTGCAATGCAAGCGAGGGCAACAGTGTGGAGCTGCCCGGCGGCATGCAGAACAGCAAAGAAGACAAGCGATGCACCAATGCGTTCCAGGGCTCGGGACGAAGTCGAAAGACGCCGACTGTCGTCCGGCAGCATCCTTCAAGTACCTGCGACCGCACTCTTGGCGCAAAGTACAACGATATTCACAGTCGTCGCTTTTGCTTCATCACCGCCGTGACATCAGTAGTGAACAACAGCATCGGTGCCAAGCGTGATGCACACAGCGGCAACTAGATGGTAAATTATCAACGGGGAAACCTGGAACCACCACTTCAAGTCGAACAGAGAACATGTTGCTGCATGAACAATGTAAGGCTAAAAATCAGTTCGATGGATTATTGCCTCGATGTCCAAAGCGTTTACACACCACTATCTGCTCAATCAGATCGACCCAAGAGGCTCCACTCTCACGTGGCTGTGAACAGATCTGCCTCGGGCCCTTTCAGGAACAAAAGGGATCCACGCGCACCGCAGACTCCTCTTCAAGCCGTCCGCCCGGAACCTCATGGGCCGTCTAAGCCACCCGACGTTAGCCTCTGCCCTTTGAGATGCCCTTGGATCCCGATCCCACCGCAAGCCTCACGAACCGCACGATAGGGCCCAACACAACAGGGTCCCACAGGATAGCGACCCACACGATAGGGTATCACAACATAGGGTGTCACACATGCCGGCTGCACACGATTAGGACCCCCACACAATAGCGAATCCTGCGCAACAGGGTCACACCAGATAGGGCCCTCCAAGACGGTGTCCCACTACTAGCGGTCACGGGGCCCACTGTGGAATTGAGTTTGGCGCGTTAAGGCCCCGCACAGGCCTCCAAGGCGGGAGCACTCGTGAAACCCTTCAGGCGGCACCACTTGGGCCGCTAAGAGGACTCCTCCTCCTCCTCTCCTCCTCCTGACTCCTCCTCCTCCTCATCCTCCGCCTCTTCCTCATCCTTCTCCTCCTCTTCCTCCTCGTCCTCCTCCTCCTCCTCCTCCTCCCCCTCCGCCCCTCCTCCCGCTCGGATCCCACTCCATCCCCCTCCCTCCACCTCGAGCCCCTCCTCCTTCCTCGTCAAATCCGACCACCGTCAGCCTGGCTCAGCCTGGGCGGGCGTGGCTGCCTCCGGACTGAGGCACCCCGCCCTGACGACGACGACGGCGGCGGCGGCGGCGACGACGACGACGACGCCGACGCCAGCGACGACGATAACGACGAGGACGACGGCGACGACGACGAGGCGGGGGGGGCGAGGGACTAGGAAGTTGTCCGAGGGAGTCCCAGGGAGGAAGTGCGCCTGGGAATAGGCAAAATCAGAAACGTAATTATATGGAGGAGGGAGCAGTCAGGAGGGATGGATAAAGAGGGGGAGGAGGAAGAGGCGACTGGATCATAAGGATGCGCGCGATAAGGTTGCAAGGACCTTGAACGTCCAAGTTCAAGCGTTTTTATTTTACAACTGCTAAGGATGGGCATAACATGGGCCGCAGAGGTATGGATGCACGGGTACCTGTGGACATCCGCCGCAGCTTCGGCGCAACAACCAGCCGCGGCACCTAAACGCAGCAAGAGCGGCAGCCTCGACGGCGGCTTCCGATTTTCACGCGCATGGATGAGAGAGACGACGTGAATGGTCCAGCCAGCTGGTAGTTACAACGCCAGACGTCGGCACTACACCCCCCCATCCCCTTCCTTGACAACATATCGCATGACCCTTCCTGCAATGCCGACCCTGGACCCCATGCTGGCAATCAGGGAAAAGCGCGCCGGGCAAGTCCGCACGCGCGTGTCTGCGACGCACCCTACGCCGCAGGACCCCTGGACAACCCACATATCCAGGAGCATTCGCACGGGGCATCTATCTCCACTGCACATCTCTCCTCCCGGCGTTCCGCGCGCAGCTGCGCGCGGGGGCGCCAGTGGGAGAAGAGTCGGAGACAGACATGCTGGCGCTCGACGGCGGCGCGCAATCGCTCACGAAGGCGATGGCGAGCCCGACGGCAAGCTCTGCCCACTCTCTGGCTGCTGATGCTGCTGCTGCTGCTGTGGCTGCGGCTGCTGAGCGGGCTGCTGAGCGGGCTGCGGCTCGGGGGATGGCGCAAAGTCTGGAAGTTGGGCCACGTCTGCTGAGGCTGTGGCGACCGCAGCTCCCGCCTCGGCGCCCACCGCCTCTGCATCCGCAGTCTCTGCCTGGGCGCCCTCTGACGCAGCTGCCGCCTCAGCAACTGGCGCCGCCTCGGCAACTGCGCCTCCAGGAGCGTCGGGTGTGCCAGGGGCGGCGCCACCAAGAGGCGTGGCAGTGCCACCAGGCCCAGCCGCGTCTGCGAGCATGTCCTGAACGCGGCCCAGCGCGGCATGCGCCTTCGCAGGAAGCAGAATACCCATGAGACAGGGAGGAGGGAGGGAGGGAGGGAGGGAGGGAGGGGAGGGAGGGGTCGAACCCGAACGGCTCAACCAATGAGGAGGGGGCGAGTCGCCCCCCCCCCCTCCCTCCCCTTTCGCCCGCCCGAGTGGCAGAAGCTGGGGCAAGAGGAGCAGGCGTTGGAGCAGGATGAGATGGGAGTGGGAGTAAGAAGAGTAGGAGGATCAAGAGGAGCGAGTCGTCGACCCCAGGGAGGAGGCGACGCGGAGGCGGAGGACGGGGAGACCGCTCGATCCCCCTGACGGCTTGAGCGGATCGATCTCTGCACCGATCCCACCATTCGATAAGAGGTGCGCGGGCACCACGTCGGCGTCCTGCCCCCGGCCAGGGATTCGGGGTTTGCGTCGATGGACCAGCGCATCCCTGAGGGCCCCTGGATCGTAAATCATAGCCTGAATCGCCCGCCTGTCCTACATACCTGCGAATCGAAATCTTAAAATCGAAAGGAGTGGGTGGTTATCAGACCCCGATGCCTCGATCTGGCGACGTCGCTGCCAACAATCATGGTACGCGATGGCTGCCTCGAGGAACGGGCTCCCAGTCCCATGGGTATGCAAGACCGCGAGGAGGTTCTTGAACTGACATGCTTCTCGCCCACCCAACTGAGGCGGATGCCGATCACGTCAACGCTTTGGGTCTTCTCGATCACGAGCCACCCGGGCGGCGTGTAGAGGATGTCCCTTGGCCCGACTGTTGCATGGTAGACGGCCTGCGTAGCCACGAGTGCGGCGAAGACGTCGGCAGACAGCTGCTTGGCGCACTTGCACATGTTCGGAACCGAAATCGGCGCCGCCATGCCAGATGAGACGAGGATGTCAGCAAGAACGCCGACATGAACCAAGATCACCTCGCGCGTGCCCGAGATCGAAAGGCGCACGGTGCTGTAGTGCCCCTTCTCGGGCGTGCATTGCAGCTTGTTCATGGCGGTCGCGAAGAAGTGCGGCCGGAGATTGTCCTTTACGTCGCACGGGATGGTCAAGGCGGGCAAGGTTGCTATCTCTGGCATGTCCTGGCTACTGTGGCAGAGCATGACGTCAAGAGTACCATCGGGGAAGAAAACCTTTGCCAGCTTGTCGAAGATGGAATTCTCTGTGCTCTCGCTGTTAGACACGGCCTTCACCCCCTTCTGAGCCCTGCCAGCCGAAAGACGGAATGGGTGGTGCGCCCACTCCTGCTCGAACAATTGACGACTCGGCTTGAAAGCGCCAGACACGAGCGCCGTATACAAGTCGCTGTCGGGCCTGAGGCTCACGACGAGCGGACGCTCACCTATATGCGAGATGCCCCCGAACTCCTCGCAGGTGTACGTGGCGATCTCCATGAGGCCGTTCGTCGGCAAGTGGTTGAATATACCATTCCCGGCCTGTTCGAGTAGCGAAGCCCTGGGGATGCTCTTGGGGGCGCGCCTTCGGCCCGCCTTGGACTCGGCCTGCTCGGCAAGATCCTTCTCCTGCTGGATGCGCGTCCGGGCCGCCGTGATGCCAGAGTGAAGGTCTTTCGCGACGCCCGATGCCACTGTCGCCAGCTCCGCAATCGCCTTCTTGTACGGCTTCATCCTCTCGCCCGTCTCGACCAGATCCTCCCGTGTCGCGGCGTCTTTGAACAGGTCGATCATGTCTTGGAAGGCGCCGAAGGTCAGCAACGACTCGTAGAACGCGCATGGAGGACCCTGCCCCAAGGCCGCCCGATCCCCAGATACGGACCCGCCAGAAGTGGATTTTCCATCACATGTCCCCAGTGCTGGCGGTCTCTCGGCGGCGGCGGCCACTCGAGACGCGATGGCGGCGATGTAAGCCTTCATCGAGTTCGGAGCGGACTCTGCGTCGACAGGCTCCTCGCTCTGAGGGTTGCGGCCCATGACGTGGAGCAGGGCTGTCTTCCGAGATCGCGCCACTGCCAGCTCCATCTGCACCCTGCGAGAGATATCTGGCTCCGAGGCCTCCTGGATGGCTTTGTTGAGCTGTGACAGCGCCTTCTCCGTTTTCGCCTTCATGTCGTCCGCCCACTTCGTCTGAGCTCGGCTCGCCTTGCCGATGGCCCGCTCCCGATCCAACCATTTCGCCTTCGGTTCTGGCGGCGGCGGCGGCTCATCATCTTCCCCCTCTGCTGCGTCAGCCTCCTCACCGCCTGCATTGTCCTCCTCCTGGTCCTCGTCGTCGGCGGCTTCCCCATCTGCTTCCATGAGACTCTCGATGTCGCCCACCGCGGCGACATTGCCGTCGAACACTTGGCCAGACGACGAAGCTGCGGGCGCAATGCATCTGGTAAAGCCCGTCAAGCCGTCGCCGAAACCGAAGTTCTGCAGCGCCGCGTCGTGGCCCAAGGTGATGCAACTCGACATGGACTGCAAATCGGCCAAGCTAGCATCCTTCTTGGCCGCGAAGCTCCTCTTGACCTCCTTGGAGGTGCCCAGAACGTTCTCCATGGCAACGTGGTCATCCAAGGCGACCCTGACGCGCGGCTCGCCAGCCTTCGTGTCAGTCACGGCACCAGGCGAGTCGTGCAGGCGCTGCCACTCGGCGCGGCTGCGCTCTGGATCTTGGCCGCCACGTTTAGGGTCCTTTCTTTTTCCCGCGCTACAATGCATCCTCCGTCCTCCTCCAATCCCTCCTCCGATCCCTCGGACATCCTTCTCCAATCCCTCCTCCGCCCTCCTCCTCGTCCGCCCCCATCCCTCCTCCCTCATCCGCATCCTCGCCCTCCGCCGCGGGGTGGATGGGGGGGTCGATATTGACAGCGCGATCCTGCATCTTGAGTACGTAGCGGGTCTGGGTCATCATGATGCCGTCCGCCGTGAAGCGGACCCGGGACTCGGCCTTGATGGTTTCGTGGTATTGGCACATGAATTTCCCAGTCGGTGTTGGCCCGTCAGGATTCTCACCGAACCGCCTCTTGTACTCGGTGACAATCTTCACGGACGAGTCGATGCAGCTGAGCTGGTCCGAGAGCCACGCCGATTTACCTTGCACCTTCGCTGCGGCATACAGCTTGTCAGCGCAAGGCTTGCATCTCGGGCAGTATCTATTGTTGGCCATGTCTTCTATTGCCTTCTTCTTGGCACACCCCATGCATGTCTTGAACTGGGGCTTAGCAGCACCAGCACCCGGTTTGGCCTTGGCCTTGCCTTTGGCCTTGCCCTTGCACTTGGCCTTGCCTCTGGCCACGGCCTGCCCTCTCCGCGCGGGCCGGGGCGACTCCCGCGCGGGGGATGGCGACGCCGCCGCTGGGCAACCGCGCCCACCTGGACCTCGCCTCCTCTTCGAATCGGGAAGACGCACCGGCTTCCGCTCGTCACTAGACTCTCCAGTGGCATGCTCGTCCGAAACGTTGGAGTCGGCCTGCATCGCTGTGGCACTGCGTGGTAAGTGGTGCGCCAATGTGCTCTGGAGAATAGAATGCCCCCGCGATAAAAGGTAATGAGCAGAGCCCAAAACGCTGTTTGCGGCCTAGTTCAGAAAAGGCAGGACGAGACGAAGAGGCAGGGCTGGGGGCGAGGTTGCAGGAGAAGAGGCGAAGGAGGAAGTGGCGGAGGAGGAGGAGGAGGACGACTCATGAAGCGCCCGATGGGACGCACGTCGAGGTTCGAACGGAGGTCATCTCCGTTCGAGCCCGTCTGGCCTTCGCGTGCCCTCCTCGTCCCCGCGGCTGGACGCGGCGCGGAAAACTGGTGCGTTTCGACCTTGGGAGGGGCGGGGTCCGGGGACAAATGGTGAGCGGCTTTGGGCCGAAAGGCCCCCTCCAGGGGGTGGGGGCCACTAGTTGTCCTCGCTCGACCACGGCTTACAGTGAGCTGAAACCTAAAGTTTACACGCAAGGTGGGCCCCCCCAGGGGCCTTGGACCAAAACAGCCCAGGAGAGATTTCTTCCAGGACAAGGCCGGACTCCCCCAGGGGCCCCAGGACCAAAGGAACCTAGGAAAGCTTTCTTCCAGCACAAAGCCCAGAGCCCCCCAGGGACCCCAGGACCAAAAAGACCCAGGGGAGATTTCTTCCAGGACGAAGCCCGCCCCCCAGGGGCCCCAGGACCAAAAATACCCAGGAGAGACTTCTTCCAGGACGAAGCCCAGACCCACCCCAGGGGCCCCAGGACCAAAAAGACCCAGGAGAGACTTCTTCCGACGAGGTGGGCAGCCCTTCGCCGGGGTCAGCGGTTCGCTCGACCGACGATCGTCGAACGGGTAGGGGGCGCTCAACAAGGGGCCCTCAGCGGCAGGGCGAAGCACACCCCTCAAATCAGCAGAGCAGCAGGAGGAGCTGCTTGACGAGATGTTTTCCAGTTTGTCTCACTGCGTCGAGCCGCCAGGCCGAACTGCGGCTGGCGACGCCGCGGCGCGCCCACGGCGGAACAGGGCCCCCAAAAACGTGGATGTGTCCCTCCGAGTCCCTCCTCTCCTCCTATCCCCCATCACGTTGGGACCGCATCCGAGGCCCTCTCTAGACCGCCAAGACAGAGCGCGCCAGGCGTGCACCACCGACACCCGGCACACCGCGCACTTATTTCTTGACCTTCTTGCTGCCCTTGCCCCCCCCCGAGCTCGCTGCCGCGGGCCTATTCATGCCCCCGCCCGCAGTGCCGCCGCCACGGGCGGCGGGCGCGGACTCCTTGATGTCGAAGGCGCCCAGCATGAAAGCGAACGTCGCACCAATGGCCTCGAGGTTCATCCCATTCCCCGTGACCCTGCGAATCACCTGCGGCGCCGGGGGGGCATCTCACCGTCGACACCCCTCTCCCGCGCAGGGGCAAAAGCGGCCCGGCCGACGATCGCCACATCAGAAACTGAACCCTCATCTCAGAAGCGGGAGGGGGCTTAGATGGAGGCGCCGAGAGGCATCCAAGCGGGGCCCCTGTGGCACCGAGGCACTAGACCCTAGACGGTCATTCAAGCTCACGCTCCTACCTTGCCCTTCCTCCTCCCTCCCTCCTTCCCTCCCTAGGACTC